AAATTTTTAGCAAAAATATTTAACTTTTTTTTCTTTATGAAAGTTGTTATTTTCTATGAGTATTAACTTAATATTTATTATAGAGATCTAATTGATCTAATTGAATTAGCCATAATTAAAATTTTATCAACAATAAAAATTGTTATAATTTATTCAAATTTGTACAAAAAACAAAACTCAAAACTTATTCATGCAATTATAAAATATTATACGAAATTATTAGTAATCTTAATATGCATTTATCAATTTATTGTTTTAAATTAAATTGATATATTTTAGATGAACCTAAAATCAAATGTGAATTAGCTTAATTACTTAAAACTATAAGTTTACCTTGAAAGCTTATAAATATCAAATGATACAATCATTTGGTGTTAAATGAATTAAAAAAAAAATTTTAATTTATGCAACATTTACCTTCTTAAGAAGATATTCCATAATAAGCGCATGAATTTTCAATTTCTTGGCACGTTTAATTACGTCGTTTAACTTACGTACGTTACAACCCGATGGAAGTAATTTTAATTCATCAAAGAAATCAATATATTCTTGTGTAAAGATTTCATGCACTTCAGAGCTCTTAAAATACAAATTTATTTTCATTTTTATTTGAATTATTTACAACAATAATTGAAAAGTAAAATTCAACAGAAAAGGAAAAAAATAAAAATTAATTTTTTTTTATTTCATATTTTCTGCTAAATTTAAATATTACTCGAAAAAAAGAAAATAATAACAACACAAACAATTGTATCTTTGGAATCCGCCGTACAAAATGAACCAATAAAAACTTTAGGAACTTCCGGTGATTCAAGAATTCGACTTAAACTCCACATCAGTGCACCTCTAACTCGAATAAGTTCTGCTGCTCCCACTTGATCTGCTTTATTGAGTACTATTTTAATCTAAATTATTAGAAACTATAAATTTACCTTTGAAAAAAAAAAAAAAATGAAAAAAAGAAAAAATTGCAAAAAAAAAAATTTAAATTTAAAAAAAAAAAAAAACGAAAAAAACGAAAATAAAATATTAGAAGAAATAAAATAAGTAATACTTAAAAATTGAAACAAAATTTTTAACCAACTTTTTCTTCGTTTCCTTTAAGACATTGTATTACTTGCTTATACTCATCGCTAATATCCAATTTTGAAGTGTCAAATAAAAGTACGATCATATCAACCTATAAACTACGAATCTTAATAAACACTCAAATATTTCTTATCAGTTATAAAAAAAAAAAAAGAAAAAATAATATTAACATTTGTTATCAGTTAAAGAAAATGAGCAAAAATTTGAATAAAATAATCTCAAATACTATCATTTGTAAAAAAATAATTAATTACTTTGCCAGCAATGTAATTTACAACGGATGCAAAATCATAGCCACGTGATGAACGTTGCTTTTGACCGGATAATATTCCAGGTGTATCCATAAAAGTAATATGTTCAAGTAATTTAGACGGAAGTGTTGCACCACGCATTCGCGTCAAAAATGCCGAACCAAACATATTTAATGACTTAAAATGCTATTTTATTATTACTCATTTCTATTTTGTATTAAAATTTTAGATAAACAAATAATTTTATAAAATGCTATACGTTTAATTAATATTATATTTCACTAATTAATATTTTCTGGTTGTACGAATTTTTTTTTTTTTTTTTCTAAATGCAACTTTTTTTATTTCAAAATTAAAAAAAAAAATGATTGAATTTATTTTCAATTGATCGAACATTTTTAATAGCTTTTTTTTTTTTTTTTTTTTTTTTTTATAATTTTGTATTCTATGAAATTAAATTTTCTGATAATATTGGAAAATTTAATCAATTAATTTTAACATAAAATTTAAATTTTGACAAATTTTTAAAATAAAATTTAAATTGAAATGATTGAAACCTGAAATGGTAATGTATTATCAGATGCAAGTGATGTTCCCATAACAGTACTTGCATTAGCTGAATGATAAATAACTGTAAAGCAATCCGTTGTTGGTTCCGGTCCAATCATACTACCCGGATATTCCATTCCGTTTAAAAGAAATTTGATCATTGATGTTTTACCAACCGAATACTACAATAAATTATATATCATTTTGAACATTTATCATAATTAGTTATCACTTATCAATTTAATTTATTCAATGGCTAAAAATTTTTTAATAACTTATCAAATATATTCAAATTTAATTTATTTAGAAACTAAGAAGTTATGATAATTTCAATTACTCTCAGTTAAAAATAAAAATATCAGTAAATTAATATACTTATTTACCTGTAAAAAAAAAAAAAAAAGCTAACCTGTCCAAGAAATAAAACCATCGGTTTAGCTTCAAATTCAGCACGATACAATGCTGGAGTATAAAATTGATCATAGATATGTCGTTTTTCCATAGGTAACATCTTTAATTTCTCTTTTTTGTTTTCTTTTTTAAACAGTACAATATAAAAAATAGAAATATTAATAATATAAAAAGTTTGAAAACAAAAAAAAACAAAAAAAAAAAGTTTTCCTTTTTTTTAAATTAAATTTTTTTTTTTTTTTTTTAACATTGTTAGATTAAATGATGTTATTAAGAAATGAAAAATTTTTTTATTTTATCCTCTAATTTTCACTTTAATTGGAAAATTTTTAGTCTATCATTAAAAATATTTTCTCAGAAATGAAATTGACTTCTAGCATTCAATTAATAAAATATTCTTCCTCAGTTTTTTTTAGAATCAAAAAAAGTAAAAATAAAAAAAAGAATTTAAAAAATTAAGAAAGTCTAGAAAAAATTTTTTTATTTTTTAAAAAAGTTTATAAAGTTAAATACTTTTTGTTCATAATTTAGATAGAGTACTTCGGCGATGTTTTCTCTGGTTGGTAATGGTACTGGTGCCTAAAAAATATAGTATTATTAAATTTACTTTAACATAAATTAACAGTTGAGAATATTTTAAGTAATTAAATAAATAATTTACTATTTTTTTTTTAACTTTAATTAACTTAAATTGTAAAGTTTTTCACCATCAAAGTTAATTGTTGAAGTATATAATAGTTGATCAAAATGGCATTCATTTATTTCTTTGTTACATTTTAACTTTTATAATCAATTCAACAAATTGATGGTTGTAAAATAAGAAATAAACTAAAAATTAAATTCATCCAAAAAAAAAAAAAAACCACTAACTACAAACCAATGGAACTGTTTTTTTTCGAAATAATCCCATTTATTTTTTATTTTTTTTTTTTTTTGTTTTATTTTAATCGATGATTATAACAAAACCGCTTGATAACAGTGAAATGAATAAAATGCCTATTTGAAGTAAAATTCATTGCATTTTATGAAAAATTTTTACACATTCAATTAATATAATACTGTACAATCATTATTAATTTATATTCCAATAATTCAAAATTATATAATATTGTACAATCATTATTAATTTATATTCCAATAATTCAAAATTATATATTATAAATATTAAAATTAAAAAAAAATAAAAAACAAACTGTAATATATGAAAATTATTTTACATGAAAAAATATGAAAAAATTTTTTTTAAATTAAATTTTTTAAGTTATATGAAAAAATTTTATAATATAACATTTTTTTAAATTCTAAAATCATTTGATATAGTAATAGCAAAAAAATGAAAAAAATTTTTTTCTCTTCCTTATAAATTAAAATCTCAAAATATCCCCTCTCAATATTTTCATCATATCGAAATATTTAGTTTAAAATTTAAACATTCTCTCTCTCTCTCTTTCTCTCTCTCTCTTTCTCCCCTCCTCTCTCTCTCATTTATTTCTCTTTCTTTATTTTGCTTTACGCTTATTTCCTATCTATCAACAAATATAAAATTTGATACAGCGCATATAATTTCACATGAATACATTCCAGCATTATTGTTTAGCTTAAATTCTGGCGCAAATGTGTTACATTTGTTTATATTTGTGATATTTTAGAGCTTTCAATTCTTCTGGTATATCTCAGAGAGACTTAGTTTCTTCTCATATTTAAATGATACGAAATGGAAAAGAGTGTGATCCAGTTTTTCATACTATTTTAGCTTACAGTATTCAGCTGTGATATGATATTCGATATCTTTCTCAGGGGTGGGTCAGTTAGCCATCTGTATATAAAAATCCTGCTAAAGTCAATAGATGGTGGTAGAATTCGATATATTACAGCTATTTGTGTATATGTATGTGTACGTATTCACGTGTACGTGTATGTGTACATGTGTGTGTATGTGTATGTATGTGTGTGTGTGTGTGTGTGTGTGTATTTCCATTTTTTTTTTTTAATTTTGCAGGATGGAAAATGTCTAAAGTTAAAAAGCTAAAAGCTGATCAAGAAGTGGTGATATAATTCTATATGTTCCAGCTGTATGTGATGTATGTATATGTACGTGTATGTGTACGTGTACGTGCACGTGCACGTGCACGTCTATGTGTATGTATGTGTGTATTTCCACTTTTTTCATTATGAATAATTTTTGCAGGATGGAAAATATCTAAAGCTAAAAAGCTAAAATAGCCAGCTGGCAATTTCAATTGGTTGCTTTTTAATGATTGCTGTAGATGGTGCAGTACAGCCGTATCACTTGCAGCAATCTCCGTATTTCCTCTTTGCTTTATATATTTATATTTATTATTATGCTATTCTCAGACAATAATGATAGCTTATGATAATTTTGATTCGAAATAGATCGATTAATTGATTAATTAATTGAATTACTCTTCTCGTAATATATTTCAGGTGTAATTATTCATAATGGTACACGTTAAAATGTACTATAATACTTATGGGCACGTTGTATTTGTGCGTACGTAAAGTAATTGTTTGATTAATTTAATTATTATTCTCGTTATATATTTCAGATGAACTATAATACTTATGGGCACGTTGTGTTTGTACGTACGTGAAGTAATTGTTTGATTAATTGAATTACTCTTCTCGTAATATATTTCAGGTGTAATTATTCATAATGGTACACGTTAAAATGAATTATAATACTTATGGGCACGTTGTGCGTACGTCTTTCACCTGTTCAGCTATCGGTTTGAAATTTGTATTTTTTGTCCGAGCTGCCCCTTGAAAGACTAATGCCACCGATGCCCTCTTCTCTCCCCCCTCTCTCTCTCTCTCTCTCTCTCTCTCTCCTATCATCAATTATTATATTTAAAAAAAAAAAAGTTTTTTTTCTCAAATTTTTGATCAAATTTCGATGAATTTACGGCACTTTCCCACGTCCATCTATCATCATACAGTTTACATCTCCAAGTGATACGGTATGATACAAAAATAATGCAAAAGGTACTGTACAAATTGCAATAAATGAAAAGGCACAAAAATGTCTTTTTTTTTTTAAAAAAAAAAAAAACTATTTATTCATTTTATTTTTCTTTTTAAAAATATATTTAATTATCTATTTTAATTAATGGGCAAAGAAATATGTTGGAGATGGGTAAGAAATATATATATATATATATATATTATAGACATATGCTAGATGCGCTAATTGTAGTAATTTTAGTTACAACTAAATTTGTAAGATAAATAAGCGCTATGTATTGTGTGCGTGTGTGTATGTGTGGGTAGTTCGAATGTTCAAATTTATCAAAGCAAAAAAAAAAAAAGGAAAAAAGGAAAAAAGAAAAAGAAAGAGAATAGGAAAGAGGATAATAGCGCCCAGAGGGATGGATAAGCTTCAATATTTATCTTCCAATAGAATGGAAGATGCATTTGAAAAAAGCAATCATTAATATCAAAATCAACAACAACAACAACAATAACAACAGCAACAACAGTGATAACAACAATAGATAGCAGTGATAGCAGTGATATCAGTGCTAGCAGTGTTAGCTATTTCAAGAAAGAAATCTATCAAATTCATCCTATCGCTATTGCTAATATATATCAATGGCTATCATTCGTTCACCAATGTGGTGCTTTACTAAAATATCAATTCTTAAATGGCTTCAATTGGTTAGCTATTTATTTATTTATTTATTTATTTTTAGAGATGCACTTTTTTAAATTATAACTGAATTGATTGAGAATTACTTAAAAATTTGTTTTGAAGTTAAAATAACAGATAATTCTTTTATTATTAATTCTAATTGATAATAAGCAGATTATAGTCAAAGTATTATGAGAGACATCCGTTATAAATTTTCATCTTTGAAAAAAATTTATTATTATTTTTAATTGTTCTCTTCTGTTTACTGCTTATCATTTAGTCTTAGTCTTATCTGATTTTTCATATCATTTTCTACTAATTTAATCTCTAATTGAAAATTTCTGATTAAAACTGATTCTAAAGATATTTGTTATCGTTAGAAATTTCAAATTTAATAAATTTTTTTTTTTGAACATAAAGCCACACACACAGACATACACAATTTACAATTTAATGGTCACTTCACTAAGGTCAATTGTCCACTTCTTTTCTCGATCTATTTTCTCGACATCTTCTATTTGTTATATCTAAGCATTATTTATTCTGGACTGTTTCAACTTTATAGCACTACAAATATTTTTTTCATCAGTAAATAAATTGATTTAGTTTCATTGCATATATCACATAGTGCTCTTTCTTTCAGGTATGTTCTCTGGTGATTATCATTTTTATCAGTGATGGAAGATATCAATGGTTCATATACACAGTTATTTTCTTCATTTCTGTCTTACTTATCCTATGCACCTCGTTGACATTACTGATGCAATACATTGGTATAAAGAATATTTACAATATTGTTAGTTTCGAATTATTTTATTTATAATGATATCATAGTAATGTTTTGATATTGATAGTGCAATCATTTATTATCAGTGAGTTTATCATTGCTTAACATATACGTAATTGTTTTATTGGTCAATGTGACAGTTCTTGGATGTATGTTTTATAAAAAAAAAAAAAATTTAAATAAATCTTATCATAAAAATATATTGAAGTAAAAAAAAATTTAATAAATAATATTTGAGATTTTATAATATTTGTAAAATTTCAGGAAGTGATATTTAATTTAATAGCATTTTCCTTATCTTTATTAGCTGGTTCAGTATTAACCTATGACCTGATAAAAATGGTTTCTGGTAGTTTCACGCATCATCGATATCTTCCACCAACAAATATTGGTAAAGATAGTTGGAAGAATCGAATTGCTGTTTGTACGGTATAATGTTTTTAATTTTTTTAATTCCTTGCTTAGTTAATTAATTCAATTTTAAGTTTTGATATTGATTAATCATTAACTGATAAATCATTTAAGCAATGTGTTTATTTCTACAATTAATGATAATTTTACATGTATCATTTTTATTCTTATTCATTACAACGTTTTTACATTGTGTTTATTCTTATTTTATTTTATTTTTATTTTTATTTTTTTTGAAACTTAAAATTATTTTTCAGATATTTCTGCTTCTGAAGACGCTATTTTATCAGGCATCATTTATATTAATCAAACATAAAGGAAGAAATTTGGATCAATAGAAACATTTTAACGCATATTTTGTTGTTTTATTCCTATTTTTGTTTTAAAAATTTAAAAATTACTCTGAAAAAAATTATGAAAAACTTCTCAAATACATAAATCAATAACTTTGTTTACTCTTAAAAAGTTACTAAATTATACAAACTCAAATGCATTGCATCATTTATAATACTTAAGTGAATTATCATCTTATCAATAAAGTAACATCTATGAGATATCATTACCATAACAATTATCATATCAGTTAATAAAATCACAAATAACATTTATCTTTCCTTGTTAAAATTACCAATTTTTTTTTTCACCACTGAACATTTTTTTTTTTACATTTGCTATATTATAAATAAATTTTCAATTCCTAAATTAAATACATTACATTTGCTATAGCATAAATAAATTTTTTAATTTCTAAATTAAATTAAATACATTACATTTGCTAGATTATAAATATAACTAAATTTGAAATCAATAAATTTTTTTTGTTCCTAAATTTTCAATTCCTAAATTAAATCAATTAATAGCAATAACAATTAAGACAATCGATATTATTATTCTCACATTGTATTGGAATATTCGATAGATAATTATATTTATTTGTGACAATTTGCTTTAAATTCATCATCCTATATTAATTCAGATATAAATTTTGTGACAAAATTTAAATAAATTTTTTTTTTTCATATATTTGATAAAAAAATTAACAGCATAAAATTGCTATTTTCCATTTCCATTTTATTCTTATCAATTTTGTAAACTTCTGAGAAGTGGTCTAAATTGTTTATTGAAACTCTCTCTCTCTCTCTCTTTTTATCTTTTTTTTTTTTTGCGGATATTTTTGCTGTTTTTGAAATTTATGAAATCGATAATCAATGGAGGCAATTTATAATATGTCGTTCTTTTGGTGCGTTTCATTGTTGATTATCAAAATTTCAAAGATTGATTTTTAAATCAGAAAAGATCAAAAGTTCTATTTGAATTGCACGAGTTTCTCCTTGAATTTCATTTATGATAATTAATGATTAGCGATAAAATCATTAGTGTTAATTGTTATCATTAACTTTTATCATTTATTCTTCCTAAAAATGCTAAAGCAAAAAAAAAAAAAAAAAAAAAAAAATAAAAGATAAATAAAAAATAAAATAAATACTTTTCATTTATAGATTAACAATAAATTTAAAGATTTAAGGAAATCAATGCTATACTCTTTAATTCTATATTAATAGTTTCCTTTTTTTTTTTTTTTTTCTTTTTTTTTTGTTTAATTTATAATAATATTCTTTTTATTGATAAATAGATAATCTTTCAAAGTTTAAAATTACCTATTTAAAATTACTTACAATAAAAAGATTCCAGTATACAAACAACTCTAGTATTACTGGTGAGTACAATTATATTCTGGTGGGGATGTTGCAATCGATCACTTAACCATCTTAAAAAAACACATCAGCGTTCATCGGATGAAACCGGAATTAATACAGCACCGGTTGATAATGCAATACGGACAACAAAAACAGCACCTGAAGATGCTCAATCGCCAGCTTTATCAAAATCACAATCATTTCCTCGTACATCGGTGATTAATTTTTTGATATATTTTAGAATAGATATAGTTTAATTGTTAATATTAGTTTAATTATTAATTCTATATAAACATCATAGATTATTTATTGTAACAATTGCGCCATCAAAAAAAAAAAAAAAAAAAAAAAGAAAAAATGGATTTAATCTTAAGCTATGATAAATTGAGATTTAAGGAAAAGATTAGAAAAAAACTTTAGTGAATTAATGAATGATTAAGCATTTTTTTTTTCATTTTTTTTTTTTTCGCTGTTGTTAGTTTTGAATGAAAATAGAAAGAAAATTAAAGTAAAAATATGAATGAATATTTTAGTAAAAAATTAATTTATTGAAATTTTACATGATTAAAAAAAAAATGAATGAATTGATTGATTGATTGATTGATTGATTGATTGATTGATAACATATCATTTGCTTACTTGATAAGATTGATAGTACATTACATTCCATTAGAGAACTTTTTAGTCCGACAAATCAGTAGATGCAACACAGGCAGAAACTATGAAATTTATTCGTCAAGTAAGCAAACTATTTTGTTATAGTGATAAGCTAGTGTATTCATAATGATAAGAATTTCTTTTTTTGATATGAACTTAATTTTTTAAATAATACTCTGTTTCTGCCAAATGAATTTTTAATTTTAAAATAGAGTTAAAATTAAAATGAGAAACAAAAGAAGATTGAATGGAATAAATAGAGTAATAACATAATCAAAAAAGTATTTATCAAATTTATATTATAAATTGATTGAAGTTTATATGAAAAAATGAATTTTGCAGTCACTATCAAAATCAAAATCGTTAAAAATGAAGAAAAATTTGGACTCATCACAACCAGAAGTTATTATTTTAATAATTGATCCTTTTTTTTTTTTTTAATTTTGCTACTGATATATTTACTAAAATTGGAGAATATTTTAATGAAATTATACTTATACAAGAAGTATTTCATACTTATCATCAATACTTAAGTAAGTACTAATGTTATTTTATTATTTAATATTCAAATTAATTTGATTAGAAAAAAATAAAAAGGGAGAGAGAGAGAGAGAGAGGGAGAAAAGAAAGCAAGGATATGTTAGTACAATTTTAGAATGACTAATTAAATTTTATGTTCAATACCTTAAGTTTCTTCTTTTTTTTCACTAAAAAATCATATATATCGATAGTGGCGCATTTCGGCATTTATTCTAATAATTATTCAAAAAGTTTTAAGTTTCAAATTAAAATTTATACATAGTATACTTACTTATGAAAATAATACATATTATAAAAAATATATTTATTATTATTATTATTATTATTATTATTATTATTAGCATAAAGGAGAACAAGATTCATTTGCTACACATATTCCAAAGAAACGAGTTGCCAGAAGAAGCACAGAGGTTTCTGCTTTTATTTCCCATCTTTTTGTACAAATTTTATAAAGTATGATTAAAACTTAAAAAAAAAAAAAAAAAAGGCGAAAAAGTATTACATTTTTTGAAACTTTCATTTTTGAAATTTAAATTTGAATAAGAAAAATGCATTTCTTATAGATTAAAGCAAGACCACCGGTACGTTGTGATCGTGACGATTACAAAACAATTCCGGCACATATGTTGCCCTCATCAACTGATGATCTTTGAAAAAAAATAAAAATAAAAAATATGGAAGAATTACTATCAATCCAAAAAACTTATCAAATTGATAGTTACAGAGATAATTTTATTGTTGAGTGAGCATCTCAACTTACTCAAATGCAACAAATTATAAAATTCATTTTTTGATTTATAAATGAAATTGTAGGATAATTTTAGCATGTGATAATATCATTTATGATATTCTTGTGATTCAAATAAACAAACATTTATATTTATGTCTGAAATAATTGCAATCGAAATAAACAAAAATTTCATATTGATATGCTGAAATGAATGATAATTTATCCATTTCATAATTTAAATGTATAAAATGGAAGAAATTTCATTAACCAAAATTTGAAGCAATTGTGTTATTTAGCAATATTAACGTGAAATAATTTTTATAACAATGTCAAAAGACAGTCAAGAATAGAAATGCTTGTAGTATATTAGCAGATTTGTTACAAAAAGTATCATTATTCTCGACATTTGCAACCAAATGCAAATATGCGCAAAGATGTAAATGTGTTAGAACAAAATTTATAATTTAATTCCCGTAAAATATTGAGCAAAATGTACAAAAGAAGAAATAAGCAATACAAAATACAAAGAGTGGACCAAGTATCATTGTTACACCTTTTCTAGACAAAAAATTAAATTCGTCAACAATTTCACCTAAATTTTTGCACAACATTGTAACAACACAAAACTCTAAACTAATTATAACGAAAAAAGTACGACAATAATACAAAACATTGCTTTTTCGTTAAATAAATTGAGAAGCTTACAATAAATAAATAAAAAAAAAAAATTGAATTCATCAACAATTTCACCTGTCATCTTTGTTATCCACCTTTCATCTTTGTTATTGACGCTTAAACTTAAACAAAACTTTAAACGCCTGAGAAGCTAGTAGCAAACTGAGGGGTAGTAGAAAACAGCACTGACGCAGAAAATCCTACATTTCATTGAATTTCTGAAAAACCCAATGATCACTTTCTCATGTTCTATTCAGCTCCATCAATTGATAGCAGTCAAAATTAGTTTGCAAATCTGAGCCAAATTTATGCGAACCGTGGTGCAATCTATTTGCTGATTCTCACCGGAAATCTTTTCCGTTTAGTCTATCGGCCAACCTCAAATATGGACGAATCAGGAAGTCACTGCAAGTAGTAACTTGACTGCTTCGCCCATAGTAATAATGTAATCTCTGCAATTACGCTTACTTCAACTGATACTAACTGATCAACTTATCATTGAATTGTTTACTTTATTTACATTAAGTGACGCAAATGTAATTACAATGGCAAATATAAATAAATTACATGGCAAGAAAATGAAAAAATTACAATTTCTATCCTTTAATACAATTATTATCAATCAAATTACCCGTAGATGATGAAGATGGGTAGCATCCCGGGTATTTCGAGAATGGATATTCAAGGATAAAAGCTACCATCATATGGATATCCTATTCAAACACCAACAAACAGCATTGTAAACCTTTTTAAAAACTAATACTTTGTCATTTTTGAAAGGCAGTGAGATTGAAAAGCATATATATTTTGCTCCATTGAAACTGTATATCACTTTTCAAGACACATTTCTACCTCTTTTTACTTCCTCTTACTTATCAAAAGAGAAAAGGTCAAATTTCATACTTCCCCGAGATGACACAGCTTTGTTATGAGCATATTATCAAATCCACACTTATCATTTGCACTTCTCAAAACAATATCTCAAAAATAATGCCTAAACAAATTCCGAAACTGAAAATTTAAATCCATATGTATAAACAAAATGAATTGCACTTGAAAAGAGAACGTATTGTATTTATTCAGGTACCACATTCTATCTGCACATTCCGACTGTTAACACTGATCGATAAGCATCGATCAGGACGCTCCTCCGGAGAAAGCCTATTTCTGCGACGATTTGGATGACCCACCAACGTAGATAACAAAGAATAGTACCAGCGACATCAATAACAACGCAATGAATACCAAAATGCAAATCTTTTTCTGAAATGTTACACGTGACCCAACTTTGGGTAGGCAAATAAATTTTTCCCATCGCAAATGTAATTAACCTGTTAAACGCATTATTTCTAAATAATAAACCGTACTTCCCACTGATAAGCAGAAAAGTAGCTTACGTGAACATCCGGAAAAGCTAACGCTAAACTTTCCATGTTATCATTTGTCACCTATTAATTGGCATGTCGCACCCTCTCTCATTATCGTCACATGTTATTAGTTAACAATAACAAAGTGATTCATTCTTCCGAAAAAATTTGTTATTGCACAAAATATGACAAATGTAGAAAGCAAATGAAATGAGTGACAAAAAAGTTGGATTACGAATTCTACAAAAGGTGTGAAATAATACGATTTCAGTATGTTTACCTCCGACCAATTGTAGGATTAAAAATTCGAAGCTTTCGCTTCATTTATTTATGGAAGTAACAAATAATCTCTGACCACCGCCAATCAATCAAAAACTGTTTGTTAATAAAGCCAAATTAATAAGCAATTTTTTTGATTGTGCTGAACAGAAGAATAAATCAAATCAGAAAAATAATAATAGGCAGCAATTTTTAGTTAAGCATAAATTTCATTAACACCACTTCATAACCTTTCGCATTTTAAAAAAAAAATCTACAACAAAAGGTTGAAAAAAAGTTTTAGCCACCGAAAAGAATTTGCACTTTCTTTTCGAACAAACAACAATTCCACGGTCTAATGACAAACACTATAAGCCAATATTTCTGCTTTGAAAAGAAAAGAAATGGATGAAACATACGATTTACCCATGAATGGAATTACAATCGATAATGAAAAATAAAATCACATGTCAAACAACCCCCAAAAACAAATAAAATCAAACTAATTTCTATGCTTTAAATGAAATTTTCCAATACATTTAATACTTTTGAAACTTCTCTGAAAGACACCTAATAGTATATGAAATGAAAAAATACACTATCAAATTGCATATACATGGCTACTTGTCGATTCAATATTTCTAAACAAATAAAGCAGTAGCCATTATTCAGAAGCAATGGAAGGAGAAATTTAAATTTGAAAAACAGTCTAATCAGAGTTTCTAGCAAACACAATAAATTTCAAAATCTGTAAACTTTGGATTTTTCTCTCACTTTCTTCAACTTCCAACCTTCCTTTTTCTTTTTCAAAATTTCATACTGCTCACTTAGATACCAAAAAGACTATTGCATTAAGACCTTTGCAATATATCACAAAAGGATTGAAAATCAACAATATCAGATTAAAGCAAACAAATTCTAAGAAATCAAAAAAGGAAAAATTGAACTGCTTTCACAGTATACAAAATTGCGAATTCAAAAATAAAATTACCAATTCGATTTAATGACAAATCAGCACATTTATGCAAAAAACAAATGACGAAATACAACTAATCATTGCTTTTTGAAATCATAGGCTAATCGAAAAGAAAAAAAAAAAAAAAACATTTTATTGCAAAATTACATAAATTACTGATTTAATAATTAAACGAACATATTCAACGTTATAAAAACAAAAATAAGGTAATAGAAGAATAACTTAATCTGTCAGATTTCCCGATTCTAGTGTAAATAAATTTTGGTTATTTTGGTTTTAACAAATATTATTACATCCAGTTCTCCAACTACCAAAACCTAAAGAATAAATTTAAAAAATTTTCCCAGTTTTGTTACAGTAAAATATTATGCGATTTTCGAATGTTCACTGCACGAATCATAAGATAATTGTTGGGGAAAAAAAATGCTGCAGAAATGGATGTATAAACAAAGGTGAAATTTATGCAAATTCAGGCAGTGATGAAGCAAGAAAAAAAGATGATTGCTACGAACGGTCGTCATCAGTAAACAAAGAAACATCGTAAATAAGCCGTGTTATGATTACACACATATAATAAAACTGAGATAATAAGAAACAACAAATAATTGCAAGAAGCTATAATGCTGATTTTAAGGGAAAAACATGAATGATAACAAATATGTTTAAATAATAGCAAAATGAGTGGCCTGATATCTCAGAAAGGACTTGGAATAAATGTCATCAACATGAGGACCAGTATGGCGATTAGAATTGTCACGCAAATCAATATCATTATCTTCTTCTGAAAGGAGAATAATGCATCTTTCATTTTGATTTTTGCAACTTTTTCCTTTTCTCTTAGTTACTGCTAAATAGCAAAAATCACATCGGAAACCAACAAGGAAGTAATCTACTGAGACAATAATCAAGTTAACTAAATAAGTAGGTAGCTTTTCATTCTGTTTACATCATTTATGGACAAAACTGTTTGAAAGAAACCAAAAAGTTTCTAGCATGAAACATGCATCACAATTAGAACAACGAAATTTCAAACAACCACAACCACAGCAATCAAAAAAGCATAGTTGCAACCACCACAAAACGAATCACTTTCAAGACATTGTCACAAATATCTCAACAACTCAACTATTCTATCCAAATATTCCCCAACTTTACCCGTGAAATTCACAAATGGTTGATGAAGAATAGTAGAGTCTGAGGTACATTCTACACTTATAACTTCAAAATTTGCTGCGGTGAATAGCAAGTTTACATCCTACCTAAACACTGATCGTAGCCATAAGAACTATGAGAAACACATCGTAGCAAAGATACTAAAGAGGTAGAAAATGCCCAAATATTCCCTTTCCCCGATTTCTACAACAATAGTAAAAAGCAGTGAAAAGTTGTCATTGACAGAAATAATTAGATGGAAAATTTGCAATTTTAGGCAAGAAAGCAAAAAAAAAAAAAAAAAAAATACTTAGAATATAGACTATTAATGTCGATAACGATATCCTTTTCCGCAACAAAGATAAAATGATTTCCCACAAAAAAAGGGTAACAATTCCTGCGGGGACTGAATATTCTGCACAACATTTTCCCAGCCATTCTTACATACATCGATATTTATGTGAAGTTGTCACGATTGAAAAAAAAAAAAAAAAA